AAGTTAATTAAAATAATTTGTTTGTATAAGTAATTTTAATTAATTATTAACAAGAACATTGCTCTGATCCATAAAACTAACCGTTATAGAATTGGTACTCAATTGTTTTAGATTCATCCTCCCAAGCTCTCCATGTCCTCATCTGCATTTCAATGTACACAAATCATAAATTACAGTCTACCTTAGACTTCTTTTTTTAACATAATTTTAATTTCAGTTTTTCACGTGATATGTTTAAGGTCACAAGATTTAAAGACATTTTGGTACATTTGATATAACTTTAATTTAGAACCATAAAATTGAAAAGTCTTCTTTATTTTCTTAAATTTCGTATCAAGTCAAACTAGATCATTCTTTTTTTCTTTTTTTTTTTAAAGAGAGGGAGTACTTGGGATAATTATTATATAAAAGAAATATTAAATACTTCTATCTTAAGAAGTTACCCTTAGTTTGCCAATTCCCAAAGTTGTAATACAATACAACACATGTGCAACTGCTAACACAAAGATAAAAATGTGGAGTTGGTGAATTGCATATTTTGAAGCAAATTGTAGTTTCCCCTGCATTTCAATCACGATAAAACACAAGTTAGCAACATATTTATCCTATGGTCATATCAGATCAGTCACAACTATAGTCATTCAGCTTTAATAAAACAAGGAATCATTATCTCTCGTATGACATTCACTAATTTGAGATTTGATTAATTTAAATTTACGTTAGTAGATATAAGATGTCTTAGAACTTGAGTCATTATTTCTCTATTGAAAGGGAAAATACACTCTATCTTGATGTTCAAAGTAGAAAAAAAGTTTTTATCAATATACTTAAGACATTTCTCATGGTTAATTTTACTCATAAACATTTGATCTTTACCCATAATAGAAGTAAAATTATAAATTATTTTGCTTGTTAAGATAACTATATATACTTTGTCCATTACAATAGTAAGTAAAAAAATATCATTTTTTGTTATAGTAAAGTGATTGAACTTTATCCATTATAATAAAAGCGTGAAATCATAAAACTTCACCAATTATAACGATAAAGTCATCTTAATGGTAAGTTTTGTCATTATTATATAATAACATAAAGTTTAGTAATTTATTTTATTATTATAGAGGCTTTATTATGACAATGGATAAAGTTTACTTACTTTTTTATAAAAATAATTCCTTAATTTTATTGTTATAAATATTAGTAAAATTTACTAAATGTAAGTGTATAAACCTAGTTCCGACCAGAAGGTTTGCTTATATATATAATAAGTATCCTCTATCTCTAATCTGAGATTGTGAGTTTGAGTCATCAAGAAAATACAAAAAGGTACGAACTAAAATATCGAGTTCTCCAAAAGTGATTCAAAGAATATACCTTAATTCTACATGGATCAAGATATTGGTCATCAATATGTTTGTTTATGTCACATGGATGCCAAGAGCGTCCAACACTCCTAGGGATACATATCTTAGACACAGGATCCTGTACAACCGTCAAGAATAATGATATGAACCCCAATAACATAAGTTCTGCACCACCACAAATACAAAATAAAACTATTATTAGTCCAAAAACTTAATGATTTTCTAATGAAAAAACAAAATTTCTCTTACCTGACTTGATCTTCTCAAGTGCTTCATATAGTGGTCTCTTTTGTTTCTTCCATAACCACTATAAAAACATTAAGAATATATAAAAATGCCAGCCATATGTTATTTGTAGAGAAAGAGAGGGTGACAACACTTTTATTGAATATACAAGCACCGTAACCTTAGGTCTTAATATCGTATCTCTAAGAATCGAGGGTTCATTTGATAGAGTATATAAGAATAATTCTACATAGAATGTATTAATAATGCTTGTATTAACAATGCATGTATTAGTTATGCTTGCATTAATTATACATATATTATTTTAATGCATTGTTCGATTTGATGCATTAAAAATAACATGCATTGCATAAAAAAATTATTTAAAAGATACTCTCCATTATCATGGTGGAAAAGATGTAAAAAGAAGTTTTGAGGGGTTAATCGTGCTAATACATGCATTAAAACTATTGCATTGCTAATACCTAGAAATCCATGGTATTAACAATACACGTCTTAACACACAATAGAGTGTATAACTAATACAAACATTAGTTATACATAGATTAGAAAAGAGTACCAAACAAGGTACTAGCAATACACAATGCTAATACATGCATTATTTTTTCTAATACACTCTACCAAACGAGCCTTATAATCTAATCACTTTATTACTTGTGACTACGTGTACTTGCATATGTGTTAGGAGATAACAAATTCTTGACGTCGTTGACAGAGACTTAAAGTATTGGCAAATTCAAGATATTTTTTTCTATTATTCTATTTTACGTTCTGTAATATTGTCTTATAGTATTTATATATTTGCATTTTTTATGTTAATTTAGATTAAAAAAATGTTTTAAAAAAATGATGGACCCATAGCCCCAATCCGCTGCCCACATAAAACTGGGTTGACTATTTTAAGGCCTATCAACATCTAAATAGTGAGCTGGTCCAATTAGCTCGTCAAATTCCAAAGCCGAGGTATAAGCTGAGATAAGTTAGCTCATATCGGCAATTCTATTTGTAAGTATGATATTATACTATATTTACCTAAAATAAAATTGCATATAGACGTTTTTAAGTTTTGCCCCTTGCTACTTCTCCTCTTAAACATTTTGGTCCCTCTCCTCCTAAAAATTTGTCTTGTTTTTCTCTCTGATAGCACATGCATGGACTTGTATAATTAAACATCATGAAAATGCAACATATTCTGTGATTCAACCATATATACAATTATGAAAGGTACGTAAATGAATGTTTACCTCTCCAAGGTGATGAATAAGTTGTTCAATGAAAAGGGAGATGATAACTAATACAAAGCAAACCATGGCTACAGCCCATGTTGGTGTCTCGTCTAGAGGACGTTCATCACACGTTGTAATACAGCTCGTGCTTGCCATTATAAGTTTCAATATCAATTGCTTACTCTTTTAGATAGGAGTACAACCCTTTTTTTTTTAATGACAAGGAAAATTTATGAGAGACTTCTTTCGGGAAAAAAATAAGGCTTTATATTTGTATGTATGTATATATAAGCTATGGTATATATTTGTATTTATAGAGAAAACATATTGACGACTTTTCAAAACTTGAGTCAATTTAAAGAAGCTACTCATATATTATAACATGTAAAAGTGTTCTTCAACATTTTAACTTTATGAGTTTTAAATTTTATAACGATAATTTAAGTGTTATTAGTTAAGTTTTATATTTAATATTTGTGCATATTTAATAAACTTTTTAATATAAATATACTGATTTCAACCAAATTTGTACCTGAACTTGTAGCTCCGCCTTAATTACAACCAGTCAACCACTGGAGATAAGTTTACGCAAATATATATCTTTCAACATAGAAAAATACTTAAGGTAATTACTCGTATATTTTCTAGCAAGCATGGAAGAGAAAAGTCATAGTAAAATCAGATGAGTCATGACTAAACTTGTATATAAAAACAAAAAAAATAACATTCAATATGGTTTTGTCGTTATTAACATATGACATTTTGTGATGTAACATATTTGTATCGTGTCCAACAGTAAGAAGTGGATGGTAGATAATAGCTATCAAATACTCCAATAGCTTATTAGTTTGAAAATTCACAAGGGAGATTAGTCTTTGGCAGTATTATATATTGACAGATGGCAAGCTTATAACAATACGTAATTGACCATTTTCATCTTAATTTGGATTGATTAATGACCACAAAATTTTGGTTTTACGTGTCTACACACGCAATGATTTATTTTTGTAGAAAACTAGAAATCTATGATGTTTGTTTCATAAGGTATTGTATTGTGTTATATAGTATTATATTATTTTAATAAATACATGCAATATTTAGATCGATTGTATGTCACTATATAATATCACATATTCATAATTTGAATGATAGATTTATAAGAAAAATATGGTACAATATAGAGCTACTATGACGTAGAATAAAAGATGAAATATGAGGACAAAATGAGATGTAAATATTAAGGTAACTATGTGATCACATTAAATTGGTCGTTACAATGAGTCTTTTCGTCGTTATCTATTCATGAATTTAAACAATACGATACAATAGAATTTAAGTAACAATTAAAATAAATATTGTATTTAAACTAACAAAATAGTACAATACAATACAACGGTAACAACCATCCAAACAAGGTGTTAAAGAAGTAGCTTTAACAGCCTTTTGATATTAACTTTAACGATGATCAATGAAAACATACAAAAATTTAGTTTGAATTTATTCAAAAACAATGTAAACTTAAATAAGGTGAAACTTTTTGTTTATATATTATGATAAATATCTTGTAACAGTGTTATTAGTGGAAGATTTAATGTTTGAATGGAAAAGTCAAAAACAGATACTCTTAAATATCAAATATCCCGAAATAGTTTCAACGCTTGAATCGAGATCTCTAGCTCATGAAAAGTCTAAAACCTAAAACTAGACTGTTTTACTCTGGCAACTATGACCGTCGCGGTCAATGGGCAGCCATTGCTCGAGGCTGCTCAGCCACTTTGACACCCCAACCACCGATACAACCCTTAACAAGAGAGCTCATTATAATTTGAAATAAAAAGTAGGTGGAACAGATGATTATATGTGAACATCTACAGGTACAGAGTTGTTGAAAAATTCTCCTATGGTTAGCCAAAATAAAAGAACTTAGAAAGTTAATTCCAAAACAATATGAACTGAAAGGTGAGTGTAACATAGGACTGTTAAGCAACGTGTATGTGTGGATTCGTTTCACGTTGCTACAAGATTATGTAAACACCCATACGAACTAGTCATACCCTATGTGCATGCTGAAGCGAGATCCTTTGTGAAGGCAGAGAGCCTTTGTTCAATAGACCCTCGACTCAAGTAAAACATATCAAAATCAAACATCCCAAGGAAATACAGTAACATATATTGAAACCCTTGCATCACAAAATTTTATCAACATCAGGCAAAAAAGCTAATCAGACATTAGTATGTGCTCATTCACCTTAATTCACAAGTTAAGTTCCAAACAAAGGCTATGCATAGTTTTCAATGTCGAAGAACAACCTATCAAACATAACATTACAAATTTTTGATAAACTAAATGTGAATATCCAGAAGTTCACTCCTTCCAGATATGGGATTAACATAGAAACTACTCTATATAAGAGACACAATTAATAGCTTTCAAAGAAAGCGATACCTTTACTCCTACTTCATCTGCAAAAAAGAAATGATGCCAGGAATGTCCCAAACATGGATCAGGAATCAGTTTCTGAATCAGACTCAGTTTCTGACTTTCCTTGAAAAGGATTTAATCTGTTTGTATTGGCTTCTAATGGAGGGAGTCCATCATCATCACTTGAGTCTTCATTTTCATCCATCTGGGAATTGTGTGATTGCGTATTATCCTGTTTTGAGCTTTCTACTGCTGTGGATTTGAAGATCTCTGGCCTGCACAGGAATAACACACAACATTAGAAAATTTCTGAACAGAAACTATTTTGGGGAGGAGAGCAGTAGACAGTAGTATGACCCTTCCTGAGGAGCATCCACCGACAGACTCTTACCAGCCAATTGGACAGCATTGCACAGCGGATTGAAGTCATTATGTCTTAGTTAGAGGGATGTCGTGAGGAAGTATGATGTCTCAATTAGGGCCGAACCCACAAAAAACTACCCTCTATTTTGCAAATATTATGTGGGAGAGTATGTAGACCAAAGTATCACTGAAGTTAGCATGTTGAAATATAAATGACAAATTACATGAAATCAACACTACACATACTCAGCGGAGTAGTTACTGAGAGGCTTCATCTGTAAGCTGATTGACATATTATGCTGTAGCAGAAAAACCTACAAACTTGCTAGAAAAAGGTCAAAATCTTCTAAGAGGATGGATGTAAAAAAACACAAAAACTCAAAATGTTGTATATCCCTACAGTCCACATGAGAATTAAAAGTGAAATGTCATGGAAGAAACAAGTACACTACTTTAATCATCATAAGGAGATTATTTCCTGTTTCCATATATCAGTGATTATTCTTCAATTTCAATTATCTTTGTAAATATGCTAGCTGCAAGTTCAGAAGCTAGAAGCACGTTCACAAACTAGAAATAAATTATCCATTTCAATAGAGATTTAACTATAGGCTTATCGAGCAAAATACCCTACTTCTTTTCCAGTCCAAAACAGTTTTTGAAGAAAAATTCCCCTGACCTTTCCCAAAAACCAAAAAAAAAGGTGAAAAAAATAGATGGTTGAATTTCAAAGTCTCACCATTCTGGTGATTTTTTAAGCACACGAACTTGGTCATAATAGAGAACCTGTGTAACAACACATCCCACTTTTCTACCTGATTCAGTAGCTTCTTCTCTACCACTATCATCAACCACAACAAAATTGCCTATTGATCCAGCAAAAAAATGAAGATCCACTTCGCGTTAATCTTAACTATTCAACGCCAACAAAATAAATGCATAAAATCAACAACCATGATGAATCAATGGATAGGAAATACCAAATCAAACCTGTTTTTATCCACATGCTCTTTTGAAATTTAGCTGGAAATATTGCTAATGATGTTTCCCCTTTCGCATCTCTTACCTTCACATTCCAAAAAAATAAAAATAAATTTGGTAACAACAAAAATTCATACAGAAGACGAAAAACAAGCTCGTACTTGAATAATATTTGAACCTCGAAGGTCCAAAACTTGCATAATACTTTGCCCTTTTTGAAGAGTCAAAAACTCTTCCTCAACAGCCCTCTTCAAATTCTTCCTTCCCCCTCTCATGTCTTCTTCTTCTTCTTCCTCTTTTTCTTTCCCCGATACTGCAAAACCCTAACCCCTGTTTTTTTTTTCTTTCTTTTAACTGCCCCCAAATTTCAAAATGTGAAATGACCTGAATACCCTCATAGGGTATATGTAAACAGATCAATCCAATGTTTCGAATATCCTGGCAGTCCTACAACTCGAAGCTCAACGGTTTGTACTCGCGGGAAATCGAGGTTTTCCTTCTGCCTCTAGTGTTAGTAGAGTAGTTTTTTCAATTCTCTACAGAATTCACCTCGGAAATTGTGTAGCTTATTTCACTTCTATCGGTTTTCCGAGAAACCATTCAAATTATGTACCAATTAATTGTTAGTTCATGTGAGACTCTTGAATTGTTATTATGTACAGGTTCTTGGTTGTTCTAATAAGAATAAAGGATTGATTTTTATCCGTTAACCGCATTGCACATTGTATATCTTACTATTTACTGCAATGGGTCGGAGGAAATCTAAGCCAAATCGTTCAGTAGGAATTTTGGAAGGAGAAGTCCCTAAGGGGAAATTAAACGGTAAAACGGATGCTGGAACTGCGGAAAAAGATGAGTCTTTTGCAGTTGATGTGCCATATTTTGTTGAAATTGATAGGTCTAATTGGTTATCTGACCAACATATGGATATTTCTGAAATTGTTTTATCAGACTTGAATGTTAGTGATGAGTTTGGCAATTATGTATTGGATGAGGAATTTTACCGCGATTCAAGGTATTTATTGAGGTTTAGGGTCAGTAATGTTAATGATCATCTTACTAGGATAAAGTTGGGTCATTGGCCTGTATTATCTGCTACTGGTATATGTCTGGAAATTGTAGCAAAACAGGAGAAAGAGGGTTTGGAGGAAAAAGTTGTGTTGGTAGAGGGAAATTTTGATGGACCTGATGAGGGTATATCAGGGCTAGTCCATCTGGCTAGTTTGAAGTTCTTCACATTGAGGCCTGTTATAGTTCCGAGTTGTTTAGCATCTATACGGATAAGGGTCGAGATTTTAAAAAGCGCCTTTGATGCATGCGAGTCACTTCTTGATACATCCAGACAGCTATGGAAAAAGAGCATGATGAATGTGATGGCTTGGCTACGTCCAGAGGTTGTCACAGCAGAGGCTAGATATGGATACCAGGTGGCAGCACCTGCGGATGTTGGTCTAGCTTCAGGGCTTGATGAAAGTTCTTCTGCTGCAAGGAAACTTTCTAGGTTTGATGTAGCTAGTTTCTATGAAGCTATTAAGCCATCAAAGTGAGTGGTTCTGCTGACATAAGTTTCAATTTATGTTGGATATATGCAAATTTCCTCATACTTGGCTTGCATTTGTGATGTTTCCTGTAGGGAGGAGCCGATGCTTGATGATGACCTCCCTGGTTTGCTTCCTAAGCTTAGACCTTACCAGCGCCGTGCTGCTTATTGGATGGTGCAGAGGGAGAAAAGAAATTCCGATGGCTCCTTGCAAAGCAAAATAAATCACTTTATTTCTCCTCTATGTATGCCACTGAGTTTAATTGACACCTCTATAACAATTTATTACAATCCATTTGGGTATGTTTCTCTCTCTATGATCTACAGAAAATGTTACCATTGGATTCACTGTACTTCTACCATCCTTTGAAGTATTTTTCATCCATGGTTCATCCAGTATGTCCCCTTATGATGAAATGGACACTTCCAACTGTTGGCACTAACTGAATTTGATTTTGCTATCTTGCATTTTATGATTTCAAAAGGTGGATGATCAATTTCTCATCATCTTTTGTTCTTTGGATTGGGATGTGACTTGCTATGTACTTCCCTAATTCCAGGACAAGTATCCATGTCCCCCTTTTTTTTTTAAAAGATCACATGAATGGTAAAATTCGTCTTCCTGATGGCTTAGGTCATTATTGATTGGTGCTTCTTACTCTTCCTTAAGTACACAATTCTATTGTTCTTAACTCAAAATACAAGGGGTCAAAAATTGAAATAGAACTTTTTCAGATTGAACTGATATCTCTCTTAAATATCTCTTTTGTTAAGTTATATTCTTCATACTTTGTTAACCATCTAAGAAGAATTCTCATTTAATGATCAGTTTCTGATGTTACTTTTCAGTGGAAATGTATCCTTGCATCCAGAGAGTGCCCCACCAGTTGTTCCTGGTGGTATATTAGCTGGTAAGCAAAATGACTGAATTTTCCAGTCTTTCATCCTTGATCTACCTTTGTATGTTATTGCTTTCAATCCTCAGGGAAGACAATTAAAAATGTGTTGGACACCGTTAAATCTTTAAGATAGATAGGATCATACATTATTTTATCCTCTTTTTTTTTGGTTTTTTCTTTGTGCTGGTTGATCCTCTGTACATAGTAGGATCTTCTTTAATTCAATTCTAAGTACGGAATAGGAAACACAAGAATGGAAATTAAGCAAGGAAGAGAAAAAGGATTGAAAGGTATACACAAAATGGAATCAAAGGCAACCAAATCTATTAAGAGAATTGACCTCCTAAGAATATCCCAAGGGCACCAAACCTATTAGAAAGACCTATAGGGAATTAGATTCCCAAGCTACCTTACATTCCAGATTCAACACAATCAAAAGCTTCAACAAGCTCACAATGGTCTCAAAGATTATTTAGTATTCAATAATCTAGGTAATCTCCGTCTAAAGGGAGCTTTTCTCCACTATTTATAGCCTAAGCTAATTATTACAAAAATACACTTATGAAATAAGGGTCTTCTAGTCTAGAGGCTTGCATTTCAAAAATAACCATTTGCAGTCATAGCTTCTTTCTCCCAACTTTGAGTAGTCTTCCACGTGGATGCTTGTTCTTCCTCTTTAGCACGTTCTCGAGCTTCATGCCTTAGTTCCAAGAACCCTCCTAGTCTCCAAGGAAGTACCTCAACTGTGAACAGCGCCTTTTGACATTTTACAGTTATTGAAAGCCTTACTTAGCTTTGGTTGCTTCTTCTGTTATTGTTATGTTACAGATGAGATGGGGCTGGGAAAGACTGTTGAGCTGCTTGCTTGTATCTTTACACATCAGGTGGCATCATCTTTCATTGGCAATTTTACTGGTGAATTTCTGTGTGATGAGGGTCAGAAGAATAGTCTGAAAAGACTGAAAAGAGAGCGTGTTGAGTGTATATGTGGTTCTGTGAGTGAAAGCATCAGATATAAAGGATTGTGGGTTCAGTGTGATGCTTGTGATGCGTGGCAACATGCAGATTGTGTGGGCTACTCAGCTAACAAGAGATATAAAAAATCCAAAGCAATCTTAACTGAACAGCAGTTAACTGGGAATATGCACAAGCATGCTAAACGCAAAAACGGTGTTGAAATAGTTGAAATGGAAGATGGCTATATCTGCCAGCCGTGCTCAGAACTGATCCAAGCCTGTGTAGCGCCAGTTTCCTCAGGTGCAACTCTTATAGTGTGTCCAGCTCCTATATTACCTCAGTGGCATGCTGAAATTGTTCGGTATTCATGCTTATCCTTTCATTTTCCTTGTTCCATATCAAACATGTCATTTTCCTTTGATTTCCTCAATATTCCAATATTGTGTAGTTCATGAAAGGTATAACTATATATAAACCAGTTGACATAGATGTTACCAACCAAAACATTTCCGTACATGTATGTATTATTTGTCATCAAGAGGAGATATTAGTTATTGCCCTTCTCAGTTGGTATTTCTTTGGAAAAAAATTAATCTCTTGATATAATGTTCAGAGCTCCTTATATTAAAGATTTTAAAGGATTGACGGTATTAAACTCTGATTACTGAATTTAAACCTTGAGGCAGTAGTTTATTGTTGTCTGTGAATCAGTTTGCAGATATGCACTAGTATATGTTTTATCATAAAATTAGTTGTTGCTTTTTATTTTTAGTTGCTTTGTTTCTTTGCATTACTCGACTATATGTTCAGTTAGTGAATAAAACAACCATTTGATATCCATACTCCCTCGACTCAAAAATGATATTTTACCAGAAATATGACATAGAAGCGCAAGCAAATAATTACTAGACTGTGAAACACAAGCATCACTAGCAACAGATGTATTAGTCTGAGCAACAAAGGCTACTTGTGGAGATATCTACTTGCTCCTTCGACATTGAAGGAACTCACTATATTTTCCTTCTGACTATTACAACCCCTAGTTACCTGCAGTGTCAGTCTGTGCAACATGAATATTTTTGGGTGATCAATAATGAAAAGATAATATACTTCATGAGTGTTTCTAAGCTTATTCTGAAAGCTACACTTGGATCGAGATCTTCCAAAAAGACATCCTCCTCATTGATTATCCATAGTTTGAGATGTCTGATTTTCCATTGTCTGAGATGCGAGAACAGAAGAGTCAATTGTTGGTGATGGGGTGCTGATGAGACCACTGTGCCACTAGGTGGCGGAGCAAGGGAAAGTAATCAAGAGAATAGTTCATCAATTGTAGGAACAATAGGACTTGCCAAAGTTTGGTCACACACCAAATAAAGGTCATTAGGAATTCCAACAAGTGTAAGAACTAGAAATATCCTCTGCAGTTGCTCATGTTGTTTCTCAACTCTAGCAATAACTGCATCAATTTTTCAAGTTCCTCCATGACTGCCTATACTTGTCCCAAGTATTAGTAAGTAAACATAAGATATAAGAACTGCTTTACCGTTATAAAAAAACAGAAGATATCTTGTCCAAAAAATTTGGAAATAATAGGTCTAAAACTCTTCTAATTAGATGACCAGTTGCTGATATAAGAAAAGTAATCACTCATAAGCATAAATGTCTAGTTGGTCTGCTGTGGTTGATGAGTCCACTTTTGTGCTTTAGCTGTCTTGTAGAGAACTCAGTGAAACTTTCTTCCTTTTCCTGTTTCCTTAACTTCTGGAAGTGACCAGGGGAAACTGTGAAAAAAAGGGGCTTTGGTTTCCTTTATCTTATGGTCTTGGCTTGTACAGTCACTTGTTGGTTGACCTTACACTTTTTCCTAATGTGTTCTTCTTCTTATGATGACTAAGAGCAGATTG